AGCCTGTAGCGCTGCATGGGGTTGTTGTGGCCGAAGTGCAGGACCCGGCACTTGGCCTTGTTGAATCTCGTGCAGTTGGCCTCGACCCATCGATCCAGCCTGTCCAGGTCCCTCTGCAGAGCCTTCCTACCCTCGAGCAGATCAACACTCCTTCCCAACTTGGTGTCGTCTGCAAACTTACTGAGGGTGCACTCAATCCCCTCATCGAGATCATTTCCCACTTCTTGAAATGTCTGTACCAAAGATTCTATTGCCATGTGTGCTGGGACAGATATGTACATAAGAGCAAGACTGCATTGTAGCCACTCTGGGTGAGTTTTTGAAGTATTTTAACATAATCACCGTGGGTAGTTCACTGGGGTAACTTATTTTCTTTAGGGTTAGGAAAAAGTGTCAGATGTAACTATCACAGTAACTTGGCTGCCTACATATTCTTTCTTGCAATATTGAATCCTATGTTCTGAAAGCTTGAGTCAATTTGTTTTTCAATAGATGATCCATCTTTTTCAATGTGTAGCTCTAATGAAACTGTAGAAGAGACTGAAATTCAGGGTTTGTTGTTTATGTGGTTTTTTAATGTTGAAGGTTTTTCAGTTCTTTTTCATACGATGGTATAGGAAATTTCTGAAGTACCTTTTTATACATATCCAACTAAAGAAAACTGCGTGTGTATTTGTAGTCATTGTTATATGTGCTGTCATTCTAATATGACAATTCTTAAGCTATCGCCACTACATGGCGCTGAGGCGTGCATGATGACATAGGGCATCAAGATGTATTTAGAAGTAAGCTGGCTAGAATGTCAAGTGCATTTAATGATAAGGAGGAAGGGCAAGAACTGTTAATATAGAAGAAAGCTGTCTGCAGTGCTTTCCTACCTAAAAATTTCCTACCTGTTAATCCTCAGTTAAGTCTTGATTATTGTACTTTAATGGAAGTTTACTGTGGCTTTTGATCAGTGCATAGATTTGTCCTAGTGAGAATTTAAGCAGCTTTTATGGTTAACGAGGCCCTAGAAATTTTGGAGTAGGAGAAAAACTACCTCAGCTCCTTTTTTATTCTTTTCTAAAGAAGTTTATGTATAAAAATGAAGCTCTCACTGGTGGGAAGTTTATACCAGATTTCCTATGCTAACACATAATGATTGATCCTAATGTATTAAGTAGGAGAAAAAGTATAAACTGGCCATCAATAAATAACTTTTTAGTAGTTTTGTGGTAATTGTAAATATCTTGTGAGCGAAATAGAGCAGAAATGTTCTAAGTGAGGTGTTGACTGTTTCTGCCAAAGAAATGAACCTCAGACCAATTCTCAAGAAACAGACAGTTCAGGTACGTGTTCTGATCAACTTGTGACCATTGTCACCCTTTCATTCCTGAGCATGTTCATACTGAGCATAGGTGAAGGCCAGTTACAACTCATCTGATGGTGCCAAGCCTAAAATACTAACATCTGGCTGAACTTTAGAAATTAAACTGATGTCACTGGAGGTTAATCTTTTCCCATCTATTTTCATCCTTTGGCTTTATAGGCATACGATGCGTTTGTCTGAAGACAGGCATCCCTGGCAGTAGGTTCAGTTAACGCGTGAGTCCATGCGTTTTTTGTTTATTTTACATTATGTAGGAACAACCACAAGTAGTGGTTTATATGATCCATGTGTAACTAGGTATTCCATCCTGTCCAGGAGAATGGCCACACTTCTTCATAGCTCCATTATTTTCCAGCAGTGGAAGCTACTGAAAGCACGCCTGAGACATTGAAAAAAGGTTCATTCTTATTTGTAAGATCCTTCAGGATCATATGTGTCTAAGACATTTGCAAGACTAGCTGAAGTCCAGGACAAAGCATGTGATTGATAGCTTCCCTCCTGTCCTTCTGTAGATTTTTTTCTGTAATCTGGGAAATACTCATTTCAGAGACTGAAATGGTCAGTTTTGTGAATGAACTGTCTTAAGAGACTTCTGCAAATGCACAGCACATGCATTGTGCTTGCGTTTCTTAATGTTAAATGCATTTAATGTTATCTGGCATAGTTCAGTTCAAATTTAAGAAACATGGTTACTTGGAAAAAATAAAAAATGAAAAAAATCTTATCCATACTCCTTGTTTCTTCCTGGGGCAGGTAACATGCGATTCTTTTAGACACGTTATCATGTTACTAGAAGGTATTCCACTACTATTAAAAGATACGAATAGAAACATGTATAGAATAATACAGAGCAAAATGTCATTACACCTGGTTGTACAGTGTTCATCTACATATCTTGAAATGTACACAGGGAGACTTCTCAAAAGGAGGATTCTTCTTCAGCCATTCCATGTGAAGCTTCAGTGACTCAACTGTGTTTGAAAGGTTAGGTCTAGAAAAGTCAAAATTTCCTTTATATGAATCTGTGCAGTGGAGCAGGTGTGCAGCTCTTTCATCTGTCAGCACGTTGAACAATTTTCTGTGTCATCTATCAAGATTCTTTCTTCTGGTTTATCAGAACTCTGTCCTGTAGCGTCTGGTCATGGAGCTCTTGGAGACTTGCACCAAGTACCTACATTAGCAGTGTGAACTGTACACTTCTTGGTCATGTTTGAATTGCTTAATACTAACCATTGATTAAATCACACTGCAGTGTGCCACTAAAGAAATTATATGCTTGATTTTAGTGTTGCTGATAGCCACAAAATGGGAGATTTGATTATCATCAGTCTCTGAAAAGCATAAGGTGATAATCTTGGTAGTAGTGACATATTTGTCTGTTTTACTAATAAACATACACATTTCTCTTTGAGACCTAGATGGTATGTATGATATTTATGGCATCTAATGTTTCCTGTAGATGAAGATCATCCAACTTATATCCAGTAGTTAAAGCACATCTCAGTATATGCCGAAACAGTGCTTTTGTCACATTTAGTAAATGCTAGAAATACTAATAGGTAAATTGTTATTTACAAAAAACAGTTGCAGAAAGTGTATGAAGAAACAAGGTGCCAAAATGGCTTAAGCGCTGATGGTAAATCAGCTAATGGTAAATCTGCCTTCTGAGAAAGTGCTTCAGAAAAGAAATGCAGCGCTGCAAAGCATTGTGTGTTGTATTACTTCAGCAGTAAATTGATACCGCTAATAATGATTTTAACACGTTCTGCTATTTTCATATTTGCGTCATATTAGTATTTGGCATACAGATATTTGTTGATTTAGCTTGTAACCACCAGATGAAAGCATTATGGATAGCAAGGTAATGTAGCATCTGACACTAGTTGTCTGATACATACAGGTCTTGTATTTATTTACAAACTATACTGCATGTTCCACCTGACCATTACAGCTCTCAAGCTGGCTATAATTCACACATTCATACATTGTCTGAAATTTAAGCTATTGGAGTCCTTAAATCTCTTTGTTCATGGATCTCAAGTTAAATATAGACTAAGCTTTTTAACTTCTGTGAACTAGTTTTGTGGTAAAATAATAGTCCTAAACTAGCCATTGGGAATGAAGCAGCAATAATGATTAATTTAACTGGTTGGTATTTAGAGTTTGTGGGGTTGTGTTTGTTGTTGTAGCTGCTTTTAACTGCAGTAACACTAAAAATAGTTGGGATCAAATGGAAGGGATGCTTTTGAACTAATCCAGAAAGAATTTGTGGTATATTTTCACACTCGGCAGCTTTTTCATTATTGTTATAAGGGTATTATAGCTAATGATTTTTATATGAGTCTTCAGGAACAAACAGGCTTTTTGTTTGTTTTTAACAATTTTACTATTTTAATGGTTTACTAAATAGCCTGTGTGTCGGGCATCCTGTTTCATATGTCAGTATAACTTTCAAATAGTTACTGTTCACAAATAAATCAGAAATTAAGGTGACCCATGGCATTCAAAAACGTTTTCAAGTGAGTGTGCTTAAGCAGACTTGATTGGAAATTTAATGGATATTGAAACATTTTGTAATTTTACCACACCAGCCTGTTTTAGGTTTTGAGTAGAGAGTTACTTCAAATCTCGTAACTTTTCCTTGAACAAAAGTAACAAGCTTTTCAGTGGCAGTGCCTAGCAGTGTGGACATGTATGAAAAGTTGCTTTGGTGAAGCAAAGTAAGTTGTGTCTGTCAAAATTGCTGCGATATATAGAGGGACATCTTGGAAGCTTCTCCTCTACCAGAAGAAGCTGCAAAAAGTTAAATGACAGTGGTGGTTTTCCACTGACTTAGTTTACCTTCAAAGTAATTCGCTTCTATGTACCCATCAAGATGTTTTTGGGTCTTTTCCTATGGTCATTAGTTTGTATTGATACTTTATGTTTCCCAATATTTTTACATTACGGGAGGGTAAGCTGGCTAGTTGGGGATGTGGCAGAAGAGGGCAGGGAGATCTTTTTCATGTCACTGAATGGCCCTGGTAGAAAAAATGGAGTGCCAGCAGCTTCAGGGCACTAAGCTTCCAAAACAGCACTTGTGCTGAAACTGGAAGCTTGAGATACAAACTAGAAACAAACTACTGGCTTCAATCTTGGTAAACTGATTTGTCCTGTCCTCGGATGTGTATACCAGCGAGATATGATGCACTTAAATGCAAATAGAAGTGCTTCCATCTCAGATGAGCCCTTGTGTAAAGAAAGGCAAAGCATCTTCAGAGATGACCAAACTCAAAGCGTGTTTTTCACATAAAAAAATATCCATGGTGGTTCATTTCCTGAGCTACGGGTAATAGTCTTCAAGGTCCCAGATTTCCTTTAAACAGTATTTTCATTCATCATCCACAGTGGTTGTTCCCTGCTCTCTCTGTTTCTTTAAATAAAAATTGGGACAATGAACGAAGTTTTTTCCTATGGATTTTCTGATTTTTTTATTTTTTTTTAGCTTGGGTTGGGAGGCTGGTTATTCTGTACTGCATTTTCATTTTGATTGTAGGCAAGCCCATTGCTGCTGAAAATAGCTCAAATGTTCTTAGAACAAAAACATCAGCCAGCAGCTCAGATTCTTTCTCGTTTTCTTTTGCAGACTCTCACATGTGAGTTAAATTAATTTCTTGAGAGAAACCTTCATAAAGGGCTAAATAAACAAGATCTACATATACAGAAATTTCTTACTTCCTCTGCATTTGAGACACAGCTAAACTCATCTGTCTGGTAAGTCATATTTTTCTTAAGGATTTGTCTTTCTTCCTGCCCTCATGACTTGCATTCTTGAGTTTCTAATTAGTGTTCAGAGAAAACCAGCTTCTGTTTGCTAGTAGTTCTGCTGCATGCTCTGTATGAAGTACTAAGACTAATCTGCAAAGGCATTACTGTGCTGCTTTTACAAACTTCAAAATAGTACCTACGATTCTGATGGTACTTTGGTATAAGTGGGGTTTTGTTTATCTAGTAGTTTGTTGCCAGTTTGCTGTCATGAAATCATTAAATATTTTAAAGCAAAACTGGTGATTGTTCTGTCTTGAAATTATTTACCTGTTTGAATGTTCTGAATTTAATGAATTAACTTCAGAATTTGTATTGCAAAGTATATTCTGTGTCACGTCAGAGTTTAAAAATAAACTTTCCCAGCAATTCATTCATGTCTTATTGCTTGCTGGTTTAATCTTGTGTAGATAAAGTAGGCACATGTTATTGATGCAATGGTATATTTTTCTTGGTGATGTGCCTATTTCATATGACAGTAAGCATGCTTGTTAGTTGTCTTTAATTTGATAATATAATTCTGTAACAGTTCTATTAAAGATATTTGTGGCTTACAGAGATTCTTTGGGTTTTGATTGTACTGCTTGAAACAAATTCTTTTTCTTTGATTACGAAGTGTAAACTGTGTACAACCCAAACAAAAGAAAGTTTTGTCCTCTACCTTCTATTTTTATTCTTTATTGCGATTAAAGTGAAGAAAATCTTGGAAGAGCAGAAGATTTTTTGCTCAGTGCTGTGGCTTTTCTAAGGAATTGGCTAGCATTAAATGGCAGCCTATATATACCTAGTCCATCTGATTACATATGCCGTGGTGCTTTGGCTTACCACAATTGCTGTGTACTTACGTAGTGCATGCCCTGGTTCCGCATAGTTCATTTTGCAGGCTTTGCTACAGCGCTAACGTTAGTTTATTTCAAAAATATATTGAAAGCCCAGGTCATATTTAAAAGTAGTTGTACATTTAATGTAAAGCAGTAGTTACGGATTATATTTTCATAGGAAAAAAAATAGATCAGTGCTTTTACATAAAAGCTGTTTGGGGGCTTTCCAATTCATTTAAGTTTTAGTAAGAGGCTTTCCAGCTTATTTTTGGATAAAAAGAGAAAATCTGAAGTCTGTGGATACATTTCATATAGCATATATTTTTTGTTAAAAATATAGAATTTTGTCTAAAAAAATCAGGAATTTTCTTTAACAGTTTTTCAGAAAAAGTAATCCAAGTTGTAATGGTTCAGTTGTAATGTTTGCAGTAATGTTTTATTCTGATATTTGAGAATCATGGATCTAAGTCTGCTTGTTCTTCCTTACAGTAGCAGATATTGATAGTGTAATGTAGGCATTCACTTGAAACCATGGGTATTTTGGTACCAGGCATACTTTGTTTCAAATGAGACAGTTTCTATTCTTTTTCCCCTCTCATTTATAATTAAATTATATTCCTCTTGGTTTAAGATCTTCCCTATTCCTGTCTTGCTGTCACATATAAAGCTGCTTCCGTGGTCCTGCAGATCAGTCACCCAGTCTTTGTACTTCCTAAGTTCTTTTGACCACACTCTAGTGAACACTTGTCTTACATTGATGGTTTTCATATAAAAAGAATTTGTCACCTGAGATTTCAGAAGAAGCTGAAGCTTTTGAAGGAACTTAAGACATTTCACAGGCCATACTGTAGTTACTGTTTGAGCAATGTAGAAATTTGTGATCCCTTAACCTGTCCAAAAGACATAGCTGGAGGAGAAATCACACAAAATTAGGCTGCATAATAGACAAAATACTTACCAAGTATTTTCAATTAAAAGCAGTGCTTGAATTGTGTAAAGTATGGGCCAAGGATGGTCTGTTAATGGTCATTTTTTAATTCATGTAACTTTGAAGTTACTATATAAGACCAAGTTTTTGCTTGGCACTTAATTTTAGAGTGAGTAACAGACCTGACTTACAGGAACTTGTATCTGGCATGCTAATATGACCCAAATTTTAGCTGAGTGAACTTGGCACTAAATTCAACTAAGGGGAGGAAATCTTAGGAGAGCAGTGGAATTTCTTTCGTTGAGTAAGGATACCTCTGCATTCATGGGGAACAAACAGTAACATTTTGTGCAGGTTTCTGCTTTTGACAGTGTGTCTTTGTTCACTTCCCAAAGGTGGTGTCAAATACATTGAAAAAAATAAACTTTCGTATTTGGATTTTTCATTTTACTTAATGATGTGGTCCCAGGGAACCCATTAAGTCTGGAATGGCCTAACACTGTTGTTTGTAATTCTTAGTGTGTGAAGAATAAAGGCTCGCTCAGAACAATTTAAGTTACATAAATTGCTCCCTCCTTATTGTCTTTGTGCGCTCAAATAGAGGGGTGGGAGGCAAGTGTATCTATAAGCATTTCATGATGGAATTATTTGATCAGAGTGTCTCAGAAAATGTTTCCTTCTTGCCAGTGTATGTATGTATGATATTACTTGAACTGTTACTTTGAGAAACAATAGATCGTGATAGATTGGATTTCTTGTCAAAAGCTTCATGCTGATAAAGATCTTAAATTAATATACTGTTTAGTCACAATGTGTCAATGTTGCTTCCACTGAGTGGTCTAAGTTCAATTCACTTATTGGTGGCAACAGAGTTTTATAGTATCTGTTCTCTATGGGTGTCGTGGTTTAACCTCAGTTGGCAACTGAGCACCACGCAG